GACAATGCCCCCGTGCACAAAGCAAGGTCTATACCGAACTGGTTTGTCGAGATCGGTGTGGAAGAACTTGACTGGCCTGCACAGAGCTCTGACCTCAACCCCATCGAACACCTTTGGGATGAATTGGAATGCCGACTGCGAGCTTGGCCTAATCGCACAACATCAGTGCCCGACCTCACTAATGCTTGTGGCTGAATGGAAGTCCCTGCAGCAATGTTCCAACATCTAGTGGAAAGCCTTCCCAGAAGAGTGGAGGCTGTTATAGCAGCAAAGGGGGGGGGGGGGGTAACTATTCATGCCCATGATTTTACATTTACATTTTAGTCATTTAGCAGACGCTCTTATCCAGAGCGACTTACAGTTAGTGAGTGCATACATTTGTTATTTTTTCATACTGGCCCCCCGTGGGAATCGAACCCACAACCCTGGCGTTGCAAACGCCATGCTCTACCAACTGAGCTACATCCCTGCTGGCCATTCCCTCCCCTACCCTGGACGACGCTGGGCCAATTGTGCGCCGCCCCATGGGTCTCCCGGTCACGGCCAGCTACGACAGAGCCTGGATTCGAACCAGGATCTCTAGTGGCACAGCTAGCACTGCGATGCAGTGCCTTAGACCACTGCGCCACTCGGACAACCTGGACATGCTCAATACGTAACGCTCATTTATGTTTTCTGTTGCAAAATGTTTTGTTTTCCTAATGAACACAACCCAGGAGAGAAAGAGACAGAGAGGAGAGAGACAGGAGGGAGGGAGGAGAGACAGACAGACGTGAGGAGAGACAGACAGGAGGGAGGGAGGAGAGACAGACAGGAGGGAGGGAGGAGAGACAGTGCTGAGATGACGGGTGGAAGCATGGGTGCGGTGTTAGCTGGGATCAGGGGTGGCCGTCTTGCTGCACAGTCGACCCAGGAGGCTTGCCATCTGCAGTAGTGAGTTCACGCCCTCCGCCACCTTCATGTGGGTGTATCCTATCTCCTTGATGAACTCCAACTTGAGATACTCAGGCATCTGGAAAGTCTTACAAACTCTGAAGATGTTATGAGATGTTCGACGAGCAGGTGTCCATATACTTTTGGTAATGTAGAGTACCTCCATTTTTTAAAATATTTTTCTCTACTCCAAAAAAATATCTCACATGTATTTTGTTGTTTCCTGACAAAGTCAAATGAAATTTGATTGGTCAAAAACAAGTTTTTTCTGGAATAGCTTACCCATCTGGGACTGTCAGTATTGATGAGTCTCTCCATAGGACAGACATTTAACAGAGAGGGGACCTCCCTATGGAAGTGCCCATGCAACCTGGTGGGGATTTATTTTGGGACTCAGAACACACACAGTTTTATTAAACACTTCATAATGGGGCGGCAGGTAGCTTAGTGGTTAAGAGCGTTGTGCCAGTAACCGAAAGGTCGCTGGTTTTAATCCCAGAGCCGACTAGGTGAAAAATCTGTCGATGTTTCCTTGAGCAAGGCACTTAACCCTAATTGCTCCTGTAAGTCGCTCTGGATAAGAGCGTCTGCTAAATGACGTAAATGTAATAATGGCAATTAGTGAGGTTAAGTGGAGTGTGAGAAGTAACTTAAAGAGATTTTGCTGTCCGAGGTAGAGAGAGGGAGAGGGAGAGAGAGAGGGGCAGGTGGCAGGGCCGGTCCTGTCGTGAAGGAGAGGGTACAGGACAGCTGGACTGTCATACAATGACTTATTCTCCAGCCTCAGTGCAGCAGATACTGTACATCAACAGGTTTATTGTGTGTATGCACGCGTGTCGGAGCGAGATAATTATCCAATGATAATGGGATATTCATACTGTACTACTACCAGTAAACTGTCAGAAATAAACAGACATGTCAAAATAAGAGTAGTTGGCCTACACAATTAGTTGTACTTGTTACTTTATTCATAATACCGCACTACAAACAGAATTAGAACGAGCATAACTAACCTTCCAATTCAAAGCAATGTTCCATGACATGAGGACAGGCAACCATATTGGGTATACCATGTTCTTCTGGAATGTTCCGTTGCATTCATGCTTATCACAGCTCTCCGGATTTGATGCCTTTCTCAGTATTCAACAATCACAACAATGACACATTCTGATGTGCCTCCATGTTAGGTAGTAGGTTAGAGCTCTGTGGCATATGAGTAGGGCAATACAAGGGGATCAAAGCAGGGTTCCTTTACAATATAGCAGATCTAATATAGCTTTAATACACATTGCTAGTATAATTCTCACACCAGCACAGTTCTGGGTTTAGTCTCACACTATCAGCCATACTCTATGTAGATTATAACATGTCTAATACTATACAGCTGCAATGGGCGAGAGCTGTTGGAGCACTGAGGACCACTGCTATCTAACACCACCTGGAGGCAGAGGGAATAAGTACAAGTAAAGAGATGAACAGTTGTGGAAGGTAAGGCCATTCCCTTCAGTCAGGCAGAGCACGGCTAGGACAAGGAATAAAGAGCTCTCTGTACAAGTGCGTGGGCCAGTATGTTTCGGAGTAGGCCTGACAGTGTCTGTTATAAGCAGCAGAGACTGGAGAGGACAGGTCACATTGTTACAGGTCACCTGCCTGCAGCCTGCCATCCACACACTGAGGGACAGTTACCAACTAGGTCAGAAAGGAGGACCCTCACAAAAGCATAACAGAAAACAGCACTGTGCACACAGAGGAACAACACATCACTTTCAAGCAAACAATGTCAGAATCAATATCAATTGAAACCAAAAATCATTTCCATAATAACATACAAACACGCAAAAAACAATCATTACATTTGGCAGTGAAACGCTTCCCTTAAACAGAACTCTACAAGCACACTCATATGCACCTTCATGGGGAAAACCCCAAACACGTCTTTATCTACATTAGAATGATAGAGGAAACGCTTTTGGCCTCCAGAAACAAAGAGCCTGAGTATTACTGTGCATTTCCACGTGTACAAAGTTTGCATCTAGAAATAGAAGACAAAGCTAAATACACCTTTACCGTCATCTATATAGCTTTATTCACACCTTAAGATCTTGTAATTTTATATTTTGCCTTTAGTCCTACCTTTAAAAAAGGGGCAATCTGCAGTTGCTACAACTTTATATGGGGATTTATAAATTAATGATATGTATTGATTTTTGAAGAATATAAATTAAATGCCTCATATGGCATACCCCATCAGAACCCCCAAAATAAATCATTTTACTCCAATGTTTGTAAACAAAGTCAATTTAAACAAGCACTGTATCGCCTCAAAACATGGTTAAACTATAATTTTGATATCATGGATGGTCAGTCCTTCTGTCCATCCACGGTCAGCTCCATTTATGAATTTGAGCGGTTACATTTCTCCTGACCAATCCCTCAACTTTTGACAGAAACAGTGGTGGGGAAAACACTGTTATTGTTTCAACTGCAATTGCCGCTTTAATGTTTTATTTCTTCTAACTATCAAGTGGCAAACTTAGCACAGGCGAAAAGGCTTAGCAAGCCTGTATTCTGTGGAGTAGTGTACACCTCCATCCCTACTGTCCCAACACTCATTCATCTGATTTAATGTAGGATATCGGAAGAGGTTAACAAAAATCATAAAATAAAACATATTTTGGGAGGAATTAAAGGATGCCAAATACTCCTGATATCAATAACAACACCTCTTAAAACAGGAAAATAATGAATCATTGGTCTAAAGAAATTGCCATTTGTTTCCACTACAGACAAAAGAAACCAAGTTCAAAATCACTGCACAAAACTGGGAGGATTTAAAGCGAGCAGAACTAGAATTTAAGCAAATTGGCAATTGTGAATATTTATTTTAAGATTCATATTTAAGACCAAAAAGGAAATACTTATCTGGAAAGGAAAAATGGCAGCCCTTGCGAGTAGGTACATTACATGACCAAAAGTATGTGGACACCTGCTTGTCGAACATCTCATTCCAAAATCATAGGCATTAATATGGAGTTGGTCCCTCCTTTGCAGCTATAACAGCCTCCACTCTTCTGGGAAGGCTTTCCACTAGATGGTGGAACATTGCTGCGGGGACTTGGTTCCATTCAGCCACAAGAGCATTAGTGAGGTCGGGCACTGATGTTGGGCGATCAGGCCCGCAGTTGGTGTTCCAATTCATCCCAAAGCTGTGGGAGGTCAGGGCTCTGCAGGCCAGTCAAGTTCTTCCACACCGATCTTGACAAACCATTTCTGTATGGACCTCGCTTTGTGCACGGGGGCATTGTCATGCTAAAACAGGAAACGGCATTCCCCAAACTGTTGCCACAAAGTTGGAAGCACAGAATCGTCTAGAATGTCATTGTAGCGTTAAGAATTCCCTTCACTGGAACTAAGGGGCCTAGCCCGAACCATATTAAAAAAACTGCCCCAGACCATTATTCCTCCTCCACCAAACTTTACAGTTGGCACTATGCATTCCGGCAGGTAGCGTTCTCCTGGCATCCACCAAATCCAAATTAGTCCGTCTGAGTGCCAGACGGTGATGCGTGATTCATCACGCCAGAGAACGCGTTTCCAACGCTCCAGAGTCCGATGGCGGCGAGCTTTACACCACTCCAGCCGTCGCTTGGCTTTGCGCATGATGATCTTAGGCTAGTGTGCGGCTGCTCAGCCATGGACGAACAGTTCTTGTGCTGACATTGCTTCCAGAGGCAATTTGGAACTCGGTAGTGAGTGTTACAACTGAGGACAGACGATTTTTACGCGCTACGCGCTTCAGCACACGGCGCTCCCATTCTGTGAGCTTGTGTGGCCTACCACTTCGCAGCTGAGTCGTTGTTGCTCCTAGACATTTCCATTTCACAATAACAACACTTACAGTTGCCTTGGGCAGCTCGAGCAGGGCAGAAATTTGACAAACTATGACGTGCCACGTTGAAAGTCACTGAGCTCTTCAGTAAGGCCATTCTACTGCCAATGTTTGTCTATGGAGATTGTATGGCTGTTTGCTTGATTTTAAACACCTGTCAGCAACGGGTGTGGCTGAATAGCTGAATCCACTCATTTGAAGGGGTGTCCACATACTTTTGTATATAGTGTATTTCCTTATTGAAATGGGCTAATTTACAAAAACTCCACATTGTGGGCTCTAGACGTGCCTCTTCAACTATATTTCAGACTGGTTATCGTTAATATCAACTAATTTTTACTAACTAGCCTTTGAACAGAGGCAAATACATTTATCTGAGCAGTACATTCCCTTGCATTGTGAGTACAAGGACAGTAAGACAAAGCATTCTGATCAGTGCTGCATGGTAAAGACTTCTCCCTGGGGGTATGTATACTATTGAAAAACAATGACAATGGGATAAAAAGGAGATGTTTCTTATTGATTTATCTTGAAAATAGGCCTTGCAACCAAAACGTTGTCAATAAATCAGATTTTTTTTTTTAAAGTATGTATCGAAAATCTCCTTTCGATCCCCCTTGTCTTCGTTTTTCAAGAACACACTAACAAAACACTGCAGAGAAATGATAAAAGAAAAACAAAGGACCAAACAGGAGAAGAGGAGGACCACCAAAGCATTGAGGCACTGAGGCTCCATGAATACACATGGCAATGAGAATTCATACCTGCACTCACTGGAGGAGCTGTAGTCAGCCAGTGTGTAGCTAGCTTACCATCTTAACCTAGGGAGAGAAGAGCGGTCTTTAAGGGATAAAACATAGCGTATGGCAGCAAACACGTCAGCAGCCTGATAACTGGCAGAAAGCATTTTCTGGACACTTACAACAGCGGCCAATAGGAAACAAATGTCCACAGGTCTTCTGTCGGGAACAAAAACGTAAGTCTCACATATCGTTGTCTGTCAAAATTAACTTCAATGACAGCTGCGTTTTCATATGTACAGTGATGCTTGGCCCTCAAATAAATAAATACCTAGGATGTTACATTTAGTGGCAAATGACTTTCATGAAATGTGGCACAGAGAAAAGTATATAGTTGGATACTTCAAGAAATAAATTGCTGGGTTTGTACCTTCCATTACTAGCGCCATAGCTCAGAGGCAGTGTGATGCAAACACAATACAAGGCAACAGAGAGCAAAAGGGAACATGCTCTTCTAAGTGCTACACTCTGTGTGTCTCTGGGGCGTATGAGTGGGTTTTGATGCAAGTGATTGTGTCTTTTTCCAATTTTAAATAACCTTGTACATTACGTCTGTGTGTTCCAATCCTCTCAGGCTATGAATGTCTTTATAACCTTCTGTATGATCTGTCCACAGCCGGGACATGGAGCGTGGAACTTGTGGAGCCTCCTGGCGCAGGAGAAGCAGGTTAGCAGGTGAGCCGTGCGGCCGTGTATAATACTCCCGTTACGCGGACGCATCCGACACAGCTTACAGGGCTCCAACAGAGCCTCGGGCCTAACCTCCACTTCCATCCCCAGGCTTTCCTGACTCTCTCCCCCAGAGAGCTGCTCCTCCCTGGGCAGGCCGCGCGGCCTGGGACCCTTGCCCTTCCCTGGAACCCCGGGGGGCAGCGGGCGGTCGGGGGTGGAGTGGGAGGGCAGGATGACTGGGTCGGACACGGTCCTGAGGCAGTCTGGGACATCGATGCCTGTGTCGCTTTCCTCCTCATCGTCGCGCGGGGCCAGAGAACTGCATGCTGGGATGTCGGGGACGGAGAGTGAGTGGACCAGCCGTGGGACGTCTTTGTACCAGTTCTTGCGTAGAGCCCAGCAGCGTACGCAGTAGCGCTGGAGAGGAGAGTTGTACTTCCTGCACTCTGTACACTGCCATGCATCCTGAGAGAGAGGGTTAGAGAACATGTTAGACAAGAGGCAGCTACAAGGAACTATCAGTGTCATGTGAGACAGAGACAGTCAGACAGAGGGAGACAAAGTAGAGCGAAAGAGAGAGAGAACGAGACAAAAAGATGGAAAACAGAGATGGAGACGGACCTGTGTAGAGATCTCTGTATCCGTATCGTCACTCAGACACTGCGAGTCTTCATCTGGCTCCTCCTGCATCTGAGGAGAGACGAGAGACACTCATCAGTCACATAAACCACATTTCCATACAGTTTTTATGAGAGTAAAGTCATACCGTATAAAAATCATGACAGCTGTGTTCGGTTACATTTTATAATTGCAGACAACATTTATACGTTCGGCGTGGTGGGATCTTTTTGTGTCAAATGAATTAATGCTAGAAATGGCGGTGTAAACGCCTTTATGCGCAACTATTGATATCATAACCATCATATCGAAGTAAACTTTGAGTCACGCGATGATATGGTGTGTGGTCCTCCCACTACGACTCTGGAAACCAAGCAGTTTATTAGGCTACAGATGAAATAAGTTATGATGAACTTCACAGGGTGGTGAAAGTGCACAGTGATCTTGATGCTCCTTTCCAATAAATATCGAGGGTCTTATTCTGGTGACATGATGATCGATGCCTGACCGCCGTTTGACAAATACTCTTCGTCTTATCCATAATAATCTCATCATGTAGATAAGCCTACCCGCAATGTATCTGGGAACTGTTGGCTAGAGCGCACGTGCCAAGACCAGAGTAGGAACATTTGCTATTTAATGCAAATGTTTGTGACAAAACTATCGGTAGAGTTGAAAATGCGATGGAAACACATTGAGCTTTCGATTTTTAATTGGTACATGAAAACGTAAAGAAACGGAGGAAAAAAAGTACATTGTGTGCACTACGTCATCAAGAACTTATTTTTTCATCCACAACAAGTCAGTTTGATGGAAACACCACTGGTGGGAAAATGTGCATATTTTCTTTATGCGGATTTTAGAATATTCGCATGAAAATCTGTCGCTAATTGGATGGAAACCTACCCAAACCAAAAACCGTGGATAGATGGCAGCATTCGCGCAAAACTGAAAGCGCAAACCACTGCATTTAACCATGGCAGGGTGACAGGGAATATGGTTGAATACAAACAGTGCAGTTATGCCCTGCGTAAGGAAATCAAACAGGCAAAAACGTCAGTACAGAGAAAGTGGAAACGCAATTCAACAGCTCAGACACGAGACGTATGTGGCAGGGTCTACAGACAATCACGGATTACAAAGGGAAAACCAGCCACATCACGGATACCGACGTCTTGCTCCCGGATAAGCTAAACACCGTCACCTGCTTTGAGGATAACAGTGCCACCAACGCGGCCCGCTCTCCAGGACTGTGGGCTCTCGTTCTCCGTAGCCGACATGAGTAAGACATTTAAGCGTGTTAACCCTTGCAAGGCTGCCGGCCCAGACAGCTTCCCTAGCCACGTCCTCAGAGCATGCGCAGACCAGCTGGCTGGAGTGTTTACGGACATATTCAATTTCTCCCTATCCCAGTCTGCTGTCCCCACTTGCTTCAAGATGTCCACCATTGTTCCTGTACCCAAGAAAGCAAAGGTAACTGAACTAAATGACTAATCGCCCTGTAGCACTCACTTCAGTCATCATGAGAGGCTAGTTAAGGATCATATCACCTCCTCCTTACCTGACACCCTAGACCCACTTCAACTTGAATACCGCCCCAATAGATCCACAGACGATGCAATCGCCATCGCACTGCCCTATCCCATCGGGACAAGAGGAATACCTATGTAAGAATGTTGTTCATTGACTACAGCTCAGCCTTCAACACCTTAGTACCCTCCAAGCTCATCATTAAGCTCGGGGCCCTGGGTCTGAACCCCGCCCTGTGCAACTGGGTTCTGGACTTCCTGACGGGCCGCCCCCAGGTGGTGAAGGTAGGAAACAATACCTCCACTACGCTAATCCTCAACAAAGGGGCCCCACAAGGGTGTGTGCTCAGCCCCTTCCTGTACTCCCTGTTCACCCATGACTGTGTGGCCATGCACGCCTCCAACTCAATCATCAAGTTTGCAGACGACAACAGCAGTAGGCCTGATTACCAACAATGACGAGACAGCCTACAGGGAGGAAGTGAGGGCCCTGGGGGAGTGGTGCTGATCGTGGACTTCAGGAGACAGCACAGGGAGTACGCCCCCATCCACATCGACGGGACCGCAGTGGAGAAGGTGAAAAGCGTCAAGTTCCTCGGCGTACACGTCGCTGACAATCTGAAATGCTCCACCCACACAGACAGTGCGGTGAAGAAGGCGCAACAGCGCCTCTTTAACCTCAGGAGATGAAAAAAATTCAGCTTGGCCCCTAAGACCCTCACAAAACTATTACAGATGCACCAGAGGATTCTGGCGGGCTGGATCTCCGCCTGGTACGGCAACTGCACCACCCGCAACCACAGGGCTCTCCAGAGGGTGGTGCGGTCTGCCGAACGCATTACCGGGGGCAAACTACCCGCCCTCCAAGACACCTACAGCACCCGATGTCACAGGAAGGCCAAAAAGATCATCAAGGACATCAACCACCCGAGCCACAGCCTGTTCACCCTGCTATCACCCAGAAGGCGAGATCAATACAGGTGCATCAATGCTGGGACCGAGAGACTGAAAAATAGCTTCTATCTAAAGGCCATCGGACTGTTAAATAGCCATCACTAGTCGGCCTCCCCGCAGTACCCTGCCCTGAACTTAGTCACTATCACTAGCCGGCTACCACCCGGTCACTCCACCCTGCACCTTAGAGGCTGCTGCCCTATCTACATAGACATGGAATCACTGGTCACTTTAATGTTAACATACTGGTTTTACTAATTTCATATGTATATATTGTATTCTACTGTATACCACTCCGACTTTGCTCGTCCTAATATTTCTATATTTCTTAATTCCATTATTTTACTTTGAGATTTCTGTGTATTGTTAGATATTACTGCACTATTGGAGCTTGGAACACAAGCATTTCACTACACTCGCAATAACATCTGCTAAATAGGTGTATGCGACCAATAAAATTTGATTTGATTCGAACCTAGCTATAGTCTGAAATAATACTCCATAGTACAAGAGCTATAAAGAGAAAATATCATTGTTCATGTACCACTCAACATAGGGACTACAGGAGAACACAGTCCTACCTCCTTATCAGCCTTTTCCTCTTTTCCTCCTCCCTCCTCTTCGGGTGGTGGCTCTCCCTCTCCTCCACTCCCTTCTTCCAGCACGGCCTCCTTCATTTCAACACTCACCTGTTCACTCCCCCCCTCTGTCAGGAACCACAGGTCGTCCGTCGTGTCCGACACGATCGCTGTGTCCTCATCCTGCGCAGGAGACAGCTGATCCCTCAGTCAGGATGTGTGTGACCTCATCACTGTATGACTATGCTCCCTGAGTTTATCCCCTTGACAAGCAAATAAACTGACTATAGTAAACAGCATTAACTATTTTTCTTACTTGATTAGTGTGGATGTCCGTAGAGCCGTTGCTTCTGCGACTGTAGTTGTTACGCAGATTACCAAGAAACCACCAGGGCAGCCCTGAGAGGTCCCACTCGTCAAGGGTGACGTCGAGCTTGGGCCGTTTGCAGGCCGACTGGGGCAAAGCATCTAAAGAGTCTGAGGGAGGGGCCACAGGGGGTTAGGACTCAAATAATATATCAGTTATATACAGTGGGGGGGAAAAAGTATTTAGTCAGCCACCAATTGTGCAAGTTCTCCCACTTAAAAAGATGAGAGAGGCCTGTAATTTTCATCATAGGTACACGTCAACTATGACAGACAAAATGAGATTTTTTTTTACAGAAAAGCACATTGTAGGATTTTTAATGAATTTATTTGCTAATTATGGTGGAAAATAAGTATTTGGTCAATAACAAAAGTTTCTCAATACTTTGTTATATACCCTTTGTTGGCAATGACACAGGTCAAACGTTTTCTGTAAGTCTTCACAAGGTTTTCACACACTGTTGCTGGTATTTTGGCCTATTCCTCCATGCAGATCTCCTCTAGAGCAGTGATGTTTTGGGGCTGTCGCTGGGCAACACGGACTTTCAACTCCCTCCAAAGATTTTCTATGGGGTTGAGATCTGGAGACTGGCTAGGCCACTCCAGGACCTTGAAATGCTTCTTACGAAGCCACTCCTTCGTTGCCCGGGCGGTGTGTTTGGGATCATTGTCATGCTGAAAGACCCAGCCACGTTTCATCTTCAATGCCCTTACTGATGGAAGGAGGTTTTCACTCAAAATCTCACGATACATGGCCCCATTCATTCTTTCCTTTACACGGATCAGTCGTCCTGGTCCCTTTGCAGAAAAACAGCCCCAAAGCATGATGTTTCCACCCCCATGCTTCACAGTAGGTATGGTGTTCTTTGGATGCAACTCAGCATTCTTTGTCCTCCAAACACGACGAGTTGAGTTTTTACCAAAAAGTTCTATTTTGGTTTCATCTGACCATATGACATTCTCCCAATCCTCTTCTGGATCATCCAAATGCACTCTAGCAAACTTCAGACGGGCCTGGACATGTACTGGCTTAAGCAGGGGGACACGTCTGGCACTGCAGGATTTGAGTCCCTTGCGGCATAGTGTGTTACTGATGGTAGGCTTTGTTACTTTGGTCCCAGCTCTCTGCAGGTCATTCATTAGGTCCCCCCGTGTGGTTCTGGGATTTTTGCTCACCGTTCTTGTGATCTTTTTGACCCCACGGGGTGAGATCTTGCGTGGAGCCCCAGATCGAGGGAGATTATCAGTGGTCTTGTATGTCTTCCATTTCCTAATAATTGCTCCCACAGTTGATTTCTTCAAACCAAGCTGCTTACCTATTGCAGATTCAGTCTTCCCAGCCTGGTGCAGGTCTACAATTTTGTTTCTGGTGTCCTTTGACAGCTCTTTGGTCTTGGCCATAGTGGAGTTTGGAGTGTGACTGTTTGAGGTTGTGGACAGGTGTCTTTTATACTGATAACAAGTTCAAACAGGTGCAATTAATACAGGTAACGAGTGGAGGACAGAGGAGCCTCTTAAAGAAGTTACAGGTCTGTGAGAGCCAGAAATCTTGCTTGTTTGTAGGTGACCAAATACTTATTTTCCACCATAATTTGCAAATAAATTCATAAAAAATCCTACAATGTGATTTTCTGGATTTTTTTCCCTCAATTTGTCTGTCATAGTTGACGTGTACCTATGATGAAAATTACAGGCCTCTCTCATCTTTTTAAGTGGGAGAACTTGCACAATTGGTGGCTGACTAAATACTTTTTTTCCCCCACTGTATAGCCATGTGAGTGAGTTTACCTTCGTCAGGCTCCCGGGGTCGTCTCTGAGACGGGGTCTGCATGGGGAGGGCCTCGTCACTGGCCACTTCCAGGTCCGCCTTGGCCACTCCCCCACACACCTACACAAGTAGGAGGGGAGGAGAGGAGAGCCAATCAGATAACAGAGCAGAAACTGGGCACTTGGTGGAACCACAGCTCCCTCACAGCATGGCCTAGTGGTCAGGGTGAGGGTGGGGGGCAGGACAGTGGAGTAGGTCCATGGGTACTGGGGCAGTGGAGGGCCACATAAGGACTGACAGAGAGACAGACTGGGCAACAGAGCCACACATATTAAGGGCAAGGGTGAAAATTAAAGGAGACATAAGAGAGAGTGAAAACTAATCTGCCTAAATTATTCTGGAATCATACACATTTTGGGTGTTTGTATGAACCAGACAAGCATTAGTATGGACACACCACAACGCAGATGCAGCATTCAATCTTCCATAATCACACACAAGTTAAAATACTATTCAACACGATGCCGTGATTAGATGACAAGTGACTACACCTTTAATTGGTCTGCATGCATTTCTTGACGAAGAGGAGCCAGTCCTCCCACAGTCTTTATTTTTGTTATTTTTCAAATTGCAATACACAAGTACTGAGGGAATTGATATTTTTCATTTATAATATCAGTCAGTGATTTCTGCATGCCTCTTCTCAACAAAAGTTGCAGTCACAGATAATTACAAACCCAATGATCACTATCCATATGATCAACATTCATTCATTCATTCATTCATTATTCTCTAGTCATATCTCACTGTAAGCTCCCATATCCACTATTGGCCTAGAGGCAACTAATGCTAAGTGGAAACGAGATGTTGGGGAAAGAAACCATTGGGGTGTTGGTGAAGGGGGAGAAGGGCAGTTGGGGTGTTAGGGAGAAGGGGAAGTGGGGTGTGTGGTTTCGGTGGAAGAGAGAGGGGGCAGATTTTGCGTGGAGGGGCAGGTTTGGGAAGTTTGGGGAAGGGGCAGGTGTGGGGCGGGTAGAGAGAGGAAGGGGTAGATGGGGGAGTGGGTGTTTGGACCGAGACGGGATCAGGAGCTGTGTTCCTCCAGCAGGTTCGGGGCAGAGAAGAGAACTCTGAGACAGACAGAGACAGTGACTCTGCCCCCCATGCTCTGAGTGGTGCTGGTGGGTCCGGCAGTGTGGTGTGTTGGAGCTCCACCAGGCCAGGCCAGAGATGGGGATGTACAGAGACGGTGCCACTCTGTACACATAAACACCTGCGGAGACAGCGGCCCTCCCCTCCCCTCACAACACACAAGCTACTGGCTCAATAAACTTGGGAAAACAAATGAACTGCTCTACATTTTCAATGCAGCTAATCATTTTAAAACCCAGTTGATTGGATTCCAACTTTGATAATGGGGTTAATGAATAAAAAAATCAGTTGGCCAGAACAATTGATATCTCAACAATGAAGCTGTGCGCATGGCTCATTACATTTTGAAGAGACTGACTGATTGAGCTACCCTGGGGGGTTGTGTGTGGTGAGGTGGTGGGCTTGAGGGTCCCTGTTTCTCCTGGGCACCATGCTTCAGCTTTACCTGACCGCGGTCCTCCACTCCGCCCTCTACACACTCACGTCCCACAGAAAGACTCTCTGCAGCGTCTGCGTTTCAGAATGAGATACAGTAACACACAAAACACACCCTGCCCTTTAATTAACACACTCCACACACACACTCACACACACCCTATAGGTACACTGTAGCTCTGGTTTCTTCAAAGAATTCTGCCGGGCAAATGAGGAGTTAAACACCTCCCACATCAAGAGAGATCCAGGTTTACAGTTTACACATGCACACCTTTCACCTCCAACCAGCAAGACTGAGCTTAAAGAGTAGATGACAATACAAATAGAGACTGATTCTTCACTGGTTGGTAAAACAATCATTCTTATAGCTACAACATTCATTAAGATCCAATGTACATGAATCAAAACCTACAATTATATGATTTGACTGTACACAAGGAGAAAAAGAGACAATATGTAAATTGATTTCATATCAACAATCATCCCACACTCAATCCAGACAAAGCAGCATAGCATTAGTCTTTTTCAGCTGTTTCAGCCAGGATCATATTCAAATGCATCAAAATGTATTTTTAAAATGAAAATCTCACAAGCAATGGAGGCATCGATCACTTACCCGAACAATTCAGCACAACTAAATACTTCTTCAGCATCTCGTAGACTGGACTGCAAAACAGGACACATTTGATTAAATTGTAAATGTGTAATTGTAGACTCGACCTGAAGTGTTAAGTATACAGCATTAGTGTATTATGTACAGGGTAAGTATAATGTGTACTGAGCATGAGCCTGTGGGTGTGAGAGAGTGCTCACCTGGGGTTTTTGACGGAGAAGCTCTCGACCTCCAGCAGCTCTCCCAGTGGGTCGTCCTGGCAGTGCACTATGTGCTGCCTCTGTTTATCATACAACTGCTTCCCCATGATGTACTGGCCCAGGTAGTGCATCACCTGACACACACATTTTTAAAACAATTTGTGAAGTTAAGTTTTAATAAGTGCAATATAGCTTTATCTTATAGGGCTATTACCATGCCAAATGTGTCCACTCACCTCCTTGAGGGTAAAGATGTCCTCCTGGGCTCCAGCCACACGCAGAATCTGCAGGAGAGGGGCTTTGGGATGCACCTGCCACAGACATGACCTGCATTAGCTGCAGCAGGACCAGATACATTCTCTGTACCAAGGTTGTGTTTAATGTTGTTGTGACTTAGGTCAACATCAGTGGAGGCTCCTCAGAGGAGGAAGGGGAGGACCATCCTCAGTGAATTTCATAAAAATAGTAAAACATTTAAAAAGTTAATCCTTTTTAGATAAAACTATACTAAATATTTTCACATCACCAAATAATTGATTAAACACACTGTTTTGCAATGAAGGTCTACAGTAGCCTCAACAGCACTCTGTAGGGTAGCATCATGGTGTAGCCGGAGGACAGCTAGCTTCCGTCCTCCTCTGGGTACACTGACTTCAGTACAAAATCTAGGAGGCTCATGGTTCTCATCCCCTTCCATAGACTTACACAGTAATTATGACAACTTCCGGAGGACGTCCTACAACCAGAGCTCTTGCAGCATGAACTGACATGTCCACCCAATCAAAGGATCAGAGAACGAATCTAGTACTGAAAGAATTAGCTACAGCTAGCTAGCACTGCAGTGCATAAAATGTGGTGAGTAGTTGACTCAAAGAGAGAAAGACAATAGTTTAACAGTTTTGAACAATTTAGGAGAAGCGAGAGAGAGAGATGCATATGTCTGTTGTTTGCATGAACACAAGGAGAGATACAGACAGAGAGGTGATGGTGAAAGACGGATGCACAACTGAATGCATTCAACCAAAATGTATATTTTGTCTTAAAAAAAAGAAAAACTTTCACAGCTAGCAAATGAGCTAGCTAGCTTAGCCTACTCAAACAGAGGGATGCTATGTTAGCTAGTTGGCTGTCTATCCAACACAACACTGGAACTCTTCCAAGTCAAGGTAAGCTTTTGGATTTACTAAATTAGTGCCACCGGGGCTGCTTACTGACTGACTGACTTACACTAACGTTACTGCATGATTGTAGCAGGTTTACTGACGTGTTAGTTCTATTATCTATGTTGATTATGACGTTACTTTAGCAAGTATGGTGACAACGATGTAAGCTGTGTGTAGCGGTTATAATATGGTTTGGAAAGGTTTTTTCGCCTGCTCACATACAGCTGATGTGTTGTGCATTGAAGTCCACAAACCAAGGGAAAAGGTGAGAGGAGGAAAGCACATAGATGCAAGAAGGAATACAACGTGGCTGCTATGAAAGTGAACTGTGTTTACGTGTGATCAGGGGTGTATTCATTCCACCGATTTTGCTGTAAAACTTTTCTTAAACAGAAGCAAACGGAACGTAAATAAACATACCTAGATGTGCCCAATAGAAACTCTCGTTGCAACTGTTGGACTAATGATTACACCCTAGGTCAGCTAGATGCAGGCAAGAGTGTGCAAGGCGATATTGAATGTGTCACCTCAAATTTCTCTCGACCTGTGTGTACCTACGTTGTAAACTTTCATTCATAGGCTAGGTTGTAGCAACTTCATGATGGGTATTGGGAAAGTTCAAGTATCATGTAGTAGCCTAAACCTATCGATGTTATATTGAACTGGGTGAATGGAATATGAATGACAGTCATCCAATATGCTGTAATAGAAATAAGTCCATGCTCATGAGGGAAAAAAAATCGTCCTCCCTTATCTTAAACTGCACCGACTGCCGCTGGTCAACATGCCTTCGGCTTGTGGTGGTGTAAATAAACTCACTTGACTCCCATCCCCAGGTAATATGCTGCATGCTGAGCTTGATGCTGGGTACTGCTGGGGTGACGGTAACGAGGTCATATTCAATAGGCAAAATCTGCTGGGGAAAAAACCGCAAGAATGGATATTAACGTTAACTATTCATTTCATACACACAACATCTTCTATTGATGGCACATAGCCACACACATTTTTTCGGAAAGAAAAACGTTGATTATTGATTAGCTAGCTAGTTAAAGCTAGCAGCTGCACGTCTTCAAGCTGTCAATTGGCCTTGGCTAACTACCTAACTAACAAGCCTCTGGAACACAGCTTGTATTGAGCCGCGCAGTCCGTAGCCAGCTAACGTCAGCTAAACAAACAGTATACTAGCATTCTATGAGTAGTTAGCGAGCTAACTTACTAGGAAACTAGATAGATAACATTGTGAGACCATAATAAAGTCGTTGGTCGCTTCCGCTTAACATAAATTAACAACTGGCAATAGCTATCTTTCCAACGCTTTAAATAAAAATTCGATGCCATTCTGCATTTAATTTTAAACGACGTCAAATGGTTAGCTAGCTAGCTATAGCGAATACTAGATAGCTAGCTAACTCGACCACTTTGCTAGGTAGCAAACGGACGAGTGAAACTCACCTCAATGTATCGGCATTACTGCAACTTTGTCTAGCAAACTATCCTTCGTACCCGACAAATACTATCGTGTGTCATGAGAAATATAGCAATTTAACAACGCATAGACATATCGTGTGCTACCTAGTAGCCAGCTCCTCAACTGTTAGTACAACTTATAAAATTCAAATTCAGTATGGTGCACTGCACAACTTCCGGTACAATTGTCGCCATCTTCACTTGTCAGGCTGGTAGCTATAGTTTTTGTTCTTATAAAATAGCTAACAGTGGTTGTACGTTAGCTATATCCACAAAGATTTACCCACATCTACCTACTAGCTAACTGTTTTTGCTCAAACTTTCGCTTTCCCAAATATTTTTGGGGTATATGGCTTGCTTACTAAAGGTAACGCTTGGATATCCATACCATGCATGACATTCTGATGACACTCAAAAAGCACCAGCCAACTGATTGTAGTTTCACTGTTTCCACACAATTTTTGGGTCCATATATATTGTGTCAAATGTAGCTATCACAAATAATATTATTTGGCTTCTACATCTCTCTGGTGTATCTGACCTGATATGTTGTTCTTGTCTATTACTGTTCTGTACTTTGTCATGTATTTATTTGTACGTTTTATGTTGACCCCAGGAAGAGTAGCTGCTGCATGTGTAGTAGTTAATGAGGATCCTAATAAACTAAACCTGATGCACGAGTTCCTTTGAGAGGTGATTGTAAAGGAATTAACGCGTTATAGCATAATGCCTTTTTTGGTGAAGCAGGACCCAAATACAGTGGCTTGCGAAAGTATTCACCCCCCTTGGCATTTTTCCTATTTTGTTGCCTTACAACCTGGAATTAAAATTGATTTTTGGGGGGGGGGGGGGGTTTGTATCATTTGATTTACACAACATGCCTACCACTTTGAAGATGCAACATTTTTTATTGTGAAATAAGACACACAAAAAAAAACTTGTCAAAGTCAATACTTTGTAGAGGCACTTTTTGCAGCAATTACAGCTGCAAGTCTCTTGGGGTATGTCTCTATAAGCTTGGCACATCTAGCCACTGGGAGTTTTGCCCATTCCTCAAGTCAAAACTGCTCCAGCTCCTTCAAGTTGGATGGGTTCCGCTGGTGTACAGCAATCTTTAAGTCATACCACAGATTCTCAATTGGATTGAGGTCTGGGCTTTGACTAGGCCATTCCAAGACATTTAACTGTATCCCCTTAAACCACTCGAGTGTTGCTTTAGCAGTATACTTAGGGCCATTGTCCTGCTGGAAAGTGAACCTCCGTCCCAGTCTTAAATCACTGGAAGACAAACAGGTTTCATTCAAGAATTTCCCTGTATTTAGCGCCATCCATCATTCCTTCAATTCTGACCAGTTTCCCAGTCCCTGCCGATGAAAAACATCGGTGTTCTCAGGGTGATGAGAGGTGTTGGGTTTGCGCCAGACATAGTGTTTTCCTTGATGGCCAAAATTTTCAATTTTAGTCTCATCTGACCAGAGTACCTTCTTCCATATGTTTGGGGAGTCTCCCACAAGCCTTTTGGCGAACACCAAATGTGTTTGCTTATTTTTTTCTTTAAGCAATGGCTTTTTTCTGGCCACTCTTCCGTAAAGCCCAGCTCTGTGGAGTGTACGGCTTAAAGTGGTCCTATGGACAGATACTCCAATCTCCGCTGTGGAGCTTTGCAGCTCCTTCAGGGTTATCTTTGGTCTCTTTGTTGCCTCTCTGATTAATGCCCTCCTTGCCTGGTCCTTGAGTTTTGGTGGGCGGCCCTCTCTTGGCAGGTTTGTTGTGGTGCCATATGCTTTCCATTTTTTAATAATGGATTTAATGGTGCTCCGTGGGATGTTCAAAGTTTTGGATATTTTTTTATAACCCAACCCTGATCTGTACTTCTCCACAACTTTGTCCCTGACCAGTTTGGAGAGCTCCTTGGTCTTCATGGTGCCGCTTACTTGGTGGTGCCCCTTGCTTAGTGGTGTTGCAGACTCTGGGGCCTTTCAGAACAGGTGTATATATACTGAGATCATGTGACAGATCATGTGACACTTAGATTGCACACAGGTGGACTTTATTTAACTAATTATGTGACTTTTGAAGGTAATTGGTTGCACCAGATCTTATTTAGGGGCTTCATAGCAAAGGGGGTGAATACATATGCACGCACCGTTATTTATTTTTTAGAATTTTTTGAAACAAGTTATTTTTTTCATTTCACTTCACAAATTTGGACTATTTTGTGTATGTCCATTACAAAAAATCCAAATAAAAATCAATTTGAATTACAGGTTGTAATGCAACAAAATAGGAACAACGCCAAGGGGGATGAATACTTTTGCAAGGCACTGTAGACATGACAAGAAAGTTCAAAAGTTAAAAGTATTATTTATTCAAAGAGATCAACCTATATTGCAAAAGAGGACGTGCCAAGTCTGTTTGTAAAATTGTCACTGATATATAATAACACAAGCAAACAAACTACTATACACCAGGCCTAAAATGGAACTGCCTTTTACATTGCCAAAACTGAAACCTTAGACTATTCCCAGAAAGGTGGAAATCTGAGTCAAAATATTATGTCCATTATACATGTATCTCACAGTATAGCACTGCACCAAAACCCAGCATGAGCTGCCATTTATAATAGCTGTTAAATCAATCCTGATGGTGTGAAAAGAAAATGAGTGCCTGCAGCTGCCAAAAGCAAGTACCAGTTGCTAGAGCCCATAGTGTTTCCTGGTCAGGAAAATCTCCTAACCCTCAATTGGGTCCACTTGGAGATGGACTGAAGTTTTCACGGCATTACACATTAGACATGCATTAACTCCAAAAGGCTGACTTTGTGCTTCTCAAATCTATAAAGGCAACATTGTCTAATGAAATGCTTGGGACTGAAGGCCCGTGATTATTTCTGCCGCTCTATGTTCTGAATATTGCTTACGTGAATAAAGCACAAGTGAATACTCAAAACTATTCTTATTTCTTAGATATCTGTTAGCTTATGAAATTCTGAGGTAATAAAATATATTGACAAGCAAATGTTAGGACAATTAAATTTCACATAATGTGTCCACTTGCCAATTGTAAAATCAGATAATTCCCACAAACACAAACTTTGAACAGAGCGCTTCTTTTGTTAAACAAGATTTTGATGAAATCATAGCCTTCATCGTAATCAAACAAAACAGCAACGATTCACATATAACTTAGTACCATAGTGACAGGGTCTGCTTTTAAACCAATATTCAAAAGTTTGTTAACCATATTTAAACTATTTGCTAACATTACATCTATCATTGGTTAATGTATTTATTGAGTTCATTAATAATTACATGTATATTATTTATGAACCATTTATTATCAGGCCCTTTAATCATATATACACCATGAACAATAAGCATTACACATGTATATGCTAAATGTAATGGTTAACAAACTACAGTTTATAAATAGTTTACAAGCAGACTATACCAGACACAAATATATTTCATATTTTCTAGATTTAGCTGGGTAAACTGCTATCCAACTAGTTTACTTCAATAGCAGTGTGTGTAAAGATTTCGTAAACTAAGTTAATTTCAGCTGTCAAGACTGTTTATGACATCTGTTATGACATTGTGAAGTAGGCCTCATGGCAGAGGTCAACAAGGAAAGTGTTTTCATTATTGCTGAAGTAGTTCACTAGTACAATATCGTCTGTTCAACTCATTTGATGAGTAGTTTCCCCCATATTCCCTACCCTCTCAGTCTGACAAATCAGATACATTTTCTCTGCAACACAAAATTATGAAAGTGCTTTGGTAATATAATTCAAGATGTCCACTCCAAGCAGAGCAGGACAAGGTACTGTATGGTTAGATCGTTTATGTTAATGTGGTCATGCTCACTAAAGCTGGTATGGGCCTGAAAATGATACATTTAGTATACGTTTTCACCTTGCACATATTATGAAAATGATTGTATCTTTTACACTTGGTACAAAATTATTTCAGACATAACTAAATGTGTAACTATGTACCACTTCAGTTGAATGCTTTCCACATCTAATGTTGTATACTGTCTTTCGTAGGGGTGTACCATATCAGGTATTGTACCATAGAAACTCAGTCTGATCCAGGCACACCATTCCCAGTGCCACTACTGATGCACCCTGCCTCTCTGCACCACAGCAATAGAGCGTCTGCTCTGTGAATCTGCATCAGAAAGCGTTGTGGAGAAAGGAAGTCTGCAGACACAACAAAAGCTCATTGAGGACACAAAAGCTCTCCTCCGCGCTCCCCTCCACAGGCCCCCAGCCCCCTGCCCCACTGCTCTCCAGCCCTCTGCAGGACATGATAAATCTCTTTAGTGCCAGTGTCCTTGGGAAGGGAAGAGGTATGTAAGAACTGTTCGCAGTCATTGAGTATGAGTGGAGTCTCAGAGCAGCTGCAGTGTTAGTGGCGGCAGGAGGAGGAGAGGCAATGCTGGGAGGGAGTAGTCTTGTGTAGGCTGTCAGGGTGGCGGATTAAGTCTCTCGCAGCTCGCTTCTCACTCCAAGAGGTCCTGGGCGGGAAAACACACACGTACAAAGATATTCGCACACAAACACACACACACACAATGAGAGAGAGAATATTGTGAGGAAAAACACTAACAGAGCCGAGTGCATGAGGCAGGACAAGAGCAGGAATGTACTAGTAATGTACTGTACACAGAATCGCTGTGTCACACAAAAACTGTGTGTGTCTGTGTATGCTAGTAGTGTGTGTACCTCATCTGAGTCTTCGTGGTAGTGTGTTTTGCCCATCTCGGTGGTGTGTGTGTCCAGTTCATCCACTCCCTCTATCCCATTGGCCTCCACATGCTGCTGTAGCACTGAGTATCTGTGTACCAGGAACCTGAGAAAGATAACCACACAGTCACATACTGTACACACAGGGAGGATAAAGGTTGGGGAGGAGATAGATGAGGTAAACTGACCTCCCTCCGCAGACATATTTCTTGATGAGCATAACCCCTGTGGCAGCACTGATGAGCAGAATCACCATTACAACCAGTACTATAGAGGCAGAGCTTAACAAGTTGGCCTCAGTCTGAGAGAGAGAGAGAGAGAGAGAGGGAGAGAAGGAGAGGGGTGTTAACTTAAGTCTTGAATGGTATTTCCTACTCCTTGAGCCTGACAAAGACTTTACCAGATGCTGTATCAGGAATGCTACCACTGACCAGGGGTTTTGGGTGGAGTGCATTGCTGATGCAGTTTCTCCTCAGATCAATCTCCTTCCTCTTAGGCTGGATCCCGCCCTCACACCGGTCGCCTGGAATCTTCCGGTAGCTTTAGGATGGAGAGCAGAAGAAAGAGTGAAAAATGGAAGGAGAGAGAGACAGTGACAATATTTACTTATGCTGTGCAACAGCTGTGTGTTTTTAGTTGTGGTGAGGTGAGCTCCTTACCCGCTGGTCTGCAGCTGTTCTGTGGTGCCGTGAAGACAGAACTCCAGAACATGGCCCTTCAGGTCTGCCTGCTCCACACACTCAGAACTGTTCTCTGCACGGTAGTACCCATAGTCACTACAACAGACAGAGACAGACAGACCGAGAGCGAGAGAGATGCATATGTCAGTTGTTTGCTTGAACACAAGGAGAGATAGAGAGGTGATGGTGAAAGATGGACGAGATAAGGGAAAGGGAAGGGGGATACCTAGTCAGTTGCACAACTGAATGCATTCAACTGAAATGGGTCTTCCACATTTAACCCAACCCCTCTGAATGGGTGAGGGGAGGAAAGGGAGCAAAATTAAAGGTAAAGAGAGAGTGAGTAGTAACATAGAAGGGAAGGTTTATGAGGTGCGGACCACTGGTAGTCGTCCAGCGTGCAGGGGCAGGGGGTGGGCTGGGTGGTGATGACATAATCACGTCCGTTCCAGCAGACAGAATCCTTCCTCAGCCGCAGGAAATGCTCCTTATATCCCAGAATGCATCCGTCACTGGGGTTGCTGAGGTCATCAGAGTGCGCCAACCACTGAACGTAGTCCCCCTCCCCACCTGCAGGGGGACACAGACCAGTAAGCACAGCCACAAACACACACAAACGCAATCACAAGCACATGTACACATGCACGCACTCACACAGTCCACTCACAGTCTGTGGAGAGTAGCTGTTTGAAGTCGATGGTAACAGAGACCCAGTACTGGCTGAGGGGACCCTGCAGGCCCACTCTGTACCCCCACAGGCTGAGGATCATAGAGCGGGCTCCAGGCTCCAACGCCAGCCCTGTGAAATACAGCGGCTCACTGGTGAAGTTATACACATGCCAACACTGGCCCTCGTCTGTGGAAAACCTGCAGGGGAGATGGAGGAGGAGTGGGAGGTGGAGGGGGAAAAGTCCTCAGCATCATTATCAACCTGAGTGCAAAGATTTGAAATGGGAGAACCTCCTCCATTTCAGTCTGTCTCTCTCTCTTTCACTCACTTGATCTGGTTGACGGGTGCAGATGTGTGTTCGACAGCCACCAATAGGCCTCCAGAGTCTAGGATGGCATAGTGGTGGGGTCCGGTTAATGCTCTCAGCCAGGAGTAGCCCCCATCATCAGACACATACACATCAGGAGACAGCACAGACGCTGGGTCACCCACACTACCTGGAGACAGAGAAAGAGAGACAGCGAGGGGAGTGAAGGAATAGGGATATGAATGTTCCATTACTCTAGTGCTCCATAGGGTGAGCCTGTGTTTGTGTTATTTTTGGGCTCTGTGTATAAGACGTTCGAAGGTGGCAAAGATCCGGATGGATATTGTCATTTATTGGCGTAGTAACAAACCTCCACCTCACAATCCATGCAACCCCAAACTGATCAGTCTGTTCACACTTCTCTTATTGGCAGAGAGAAAATGTTGCTGTTTTAAAGCTCATTTCCTGCAATTCTACACATTTTGCCATGTCTTGTGTGTTCATATGATACTGGAGTGACTCAACAAAATCAATGGAGGCCCCTGGGCATGTAATCTGGCTATGATAACTACAATATTTAGATAGGTAAGTTGGGCTAACCAGCTACCAAGCTAACATGCGCTAGTGTCAGAGGTATTCGACTCTTACCCCAACGAGTTCCGGCAACTGCTGGTTTTCGGATCTACCTGATAATTAATTGCACCCATCTGGTGTGCCAGGTGTAAGTCAGTCCCTGATTAGAGGGGAACAATGAAGTGGAACTGGCTTCGAGGTCCAGAGTTGAGTTTGAGGGGGCTATTTGATTAACTGGACATTTCTGACATTGAATGAAATAACTGCCCATGCACTTCCACATTTCTCCATTCCACCTTGTACATTCTACTATTACAACTCTCAACAGCAGTAAGTTGAAAAGATAAATAGAAATGAACCCCGTTCTGGGTCCGGATCCAGACCGCGGTGAGTATGTCTGGTGTGTATTGTGTGTGTTACCATGAGCCAGGATGAGGCCTATAGCGTTGGACTGTGTGAGGGGCAGCAGAGGGACGTTCATCTTCATAGAGATGCTGTATAAGGCGTGGATGTGCAGGCTGCACTGTAGACACACAGAGAGGATAAGGGACAAGGACAAAACACTAATGAAATACAAAGGTTGCCATGAAATACAAAGGTATATACAGTATTGCTAAAGCACACATTTATAATCACAGGGTTGTGTGTGTGTGTGTGTCTCACTCGGTCCGGACGGTTGGTGGTGGTCTCAGCGTCACAGGGGCTGTTCCGAGGCCTTTGTAGCGGCCGCCACTCCCCCCCCTGGTCAAACGACACCACAGTCTCCACTGAGCCGTCTACAGAGGGAGGGGAGGGGGGTGGTCAGACTGCATAGAAAAACACTTCACCAAAACTGTGTGTCTGTGTGTCCATGTGTGGCAGTGTAGACCCACCCTCTGTGAGTACGCTGGTCATGTAGACGCCCCTGAGCGAGGTGACGTTGGTGAAGTCAGTGTCGCCCCCTGTGGCCGTGTAGAGGTGGCGCTCCAGAGACTTGGAGTAGAGCGTTCCTCTGTCATCTGATATGTAGATGGTCCCTATGCCAGTGTCTGTCACAATGTTTCACAAAGTAAATAAAGCGTAATCAATCATCTATTGTCATGTAGACGAAGGCTTTATCTGGGAGGACAGAAAGGGAGAAGCGAGATCTTAACAAAGACACACATCTAAGAAAGATAATCTTAATCCATAATTGTGTGTGTGTGTTCTGACTGACCTCCAGGTTCGTCTACGTGCATGAACACCATGTCGTCGCTGGCTGCCAATATGGAGTAGAACTGCTCATGGCCGACGGTAGGGAGCTGAGCCATGTTCCACAAGTCACCACCATCTACTGACACATGGATCATACGCTGGGTACCCTGAGGAACACACACACAGACTTTACTGTGTAAACACACATAGAGGGACAAACATACCAACGTAACACAACACACACACACACACACACACACACACACACACACACCGAGCCAGTCATGATGGAGGCAAAGACGAAGCGTCCTCCCAGTACGAAGGAGTAGATCTTGCTGGCGATGGTCTTGATGTTCTTGCCATAGTCTAGAGACCTCTTCAGCTCCAACATGCCCTTATCATCTGAAGGGGGAGAGGGAAAGAGAAAAGTCAAAACACATATGATTGTTATCAGTCCAAAGTTAGAGATTATTTGCTAATCTATATACACTATATATACATAAGTATGTGGACACACCTTCAAATTAGTGGATTTGGCTATTTCAGCCACATCCGTTGCTGACAGGTGTATAAAATCGAGCACACTGCCATGCAATCTCCATAGACAAACATTGGCAGTAGAATGGCCTTACTGAAGAGCTCAATGACTTTCAACGTGGCACAGTCATAGGATGCCACCTTTCCAACAAGTCAGTTCATCAAATTTCTGCCCTGCTAGAGCTTCCCCGGTCAACAGTAAGTGCTGCTATTGTGAAGTGGAAACGTCTAGGAGCAACAACGGCACAGCCGCAAAGTGGTAGGCCACACAAGCTCACAGAACGGGACCGCCGAGTGCTGAAACGCATAAAGATCGTCTGGTTGCAACACTCACTAATGAGTTCCCAAATGCCTCTGGAAGCAACGTCAGCACAATAACTGTTTGTCGGGAGCTTCATGAAATGGGTTTCCATGGCCGAGCAGCCGCACACAAGCCTAAGATCACCATGCTCAATGCCAAGCGTCGGCTGGGAGTGGCATAAAACTCGCCGCCATTGGATTCTGGAGCAGTGGAAACACCTTCTCTGGAGTGATGAATCACGCATCTGGCAGTCCGACGGACGAATCTGGGTTTGGCGGATACAAGGAGAACGCTACCTGCCCCAATGCATAGTGCCAACTGTAAAGTTTGGTGGAGGAGGAATAATTGTGTGGGGCTGTTTTTCATGGTTCGGGCTAGGTCCCTTAGTTCCAGTGAAGGGAAATCTTAACGCTACAGTATACAATGACATTCTAGACGATTCTGTGCTTCCAACTTTGTGGCAACAGTTTGGGGAAGGCCCTTTCCTGTTTCAGCATGACAATGCCCCCGTGCACAAAGCGAGGTCCATACAGACATTGTTTGTCGATCAGTGTGGAAGAACTTAACTGGCCTTGCACATAGCCCTGACCTTAACCTCATCGAACACCTTTGGGATGAATTGGAACGGCGACTGCGAGCCAGGCCTAATCACCCAACATCAGTGCCCGACCTCACTAATGATCTTCTGGCTGAATGGAAGAAAGTCCCCGCAGCAATGTTCCAACATCTAGTGGAAAGCCTTTCCAGAAGAGTGTAGGCTTTTATAGCAGCAAAGTGGGGACCAACTCCATATTAATGCCCATGATTTTGGAATGAGATGTTCGACGAGCAGGTGTCCCTATACTTTTGGTCATGTAGTGTATCATTGTGTGTGCTGTTGTGTATTGTGAATCGTGTGGCTGTGTTATTGTTAGTGCAGTCTCTCTGGACAGATATCTGGCTCAATTATTCTACTGTTAGTGAGTTATTTGTTGTTATTTGTGTTGTGTTGACATGAGGTTGTGTTACTGTAGTCATGGTCTACTCACTGCAGGATCCATTAGAGTTTGTGGTGAAGTAGATGCTGTCCACAGGACCCCTAGGATCACACAGACAGACGGACCTTTAGACAACACACACAAAAAGAGAGACAGAGGCAGACGAGAGAGAGAGAGAGAAAAAGCGCGAGAGAGAGACGGACAGAGATCTTTCCAATTCACTGGGGATTGAGGCCGGTACATTTCTCCTGATGCATATACATGTAGCAGGGTTATACAAAACAGATGGTGTGGAATATGGACTCATCCCACCGTGACACCCCTTTAAAAGGAATGAAAACATCTGGTTCCCACCTGACTGAGGTGTCACTCAACTGCTGCTGAAGTGACAATATTCACCAACCCACTGTAAAACTGGCCTCTACCAAGGGTTGTGGAATGAATATACACTATTCTGCTGACTCCTGATTCACTGTCCTGGGAACCCAAAATGCTTGTGTAACACATTCTGGTCAGAGCTCCAATTGAAGCTGTGGCCACAGAGTTCCCAGAATGCTGTGCGAGGCGATGACTGTGCAGTAACTACCACAGCCTGGCTCTTTGGCCTGATCTGAACTTCTGTTGCTGCACTGAAACTGGAGTCAAATATGTGGTCACAACTGACAGGCAAGACAGCTGGAATAACAACAATAAAGTCAAACACACACACACACACACACACACACACAGAGACATTCACTTTCAAATGCATACACACAGACCCTCACATAACTCCTGTAGCTGGGTAGGGGAGATTCAGAGGTAAAATATATGCTATTGGAATATGGAGCTAGAGGACGTAGACGTTTTTTTGGAAGTAAACAAGATCATAAAAAACATCCATTGTTACTGATTGATTAATGAATTGGTTGATGGAAGCTCTCACCATCTGACCAGACACACGCTGTCATGGATCTTCCTCCAGGTGGAGCCAAAGTCTTCAGACAGCCACAGGTCCAACTGGAGGAGAGGAGAGGGGGATGAAAAAACAGAACATATTAAAAGAGGAAAGGGAAAGGGGGATACCTAGTCAGTTGTACAACTGAATGCATTCAACTGAAATGTGTCTTCTGCATTTAACCCAATCCCTCTGAGGCTGCCTTAATCAAGCGTTAGGGGTTAGGGGTTAGAGGTCAGGGTTATGTACAATGATGCTGAGGGTCAGGGTTAGGGGTCAGAGGTCAGTGTTATGTACCGTGATGCTGAGGGTCAGTAGCACGTTGCTGTCGTTGGGGTTATACAGTGTCTGAATCAGAGGAAAGAAGGGGAGGTCCGCCGGGGAAAAACTATGTCCAAAATCCAGCGAGCGGAAAATCCGAGATCCCCCTCCCTCTGACACATCACCTGTCATGATCACCTGGAGGACAGAGAGACAGTGGATCAGAGGAGAACCCTGGAGATCACTAAGGGAGACAATAGATCACCAATACAGGGAGACAGGGACCTGGTTTACTTGGGAAACCAGGTGTGTTCAATCTCTGGGCAATCAGAGCAATTATAACTCAATGTAGTAGTACCAGAGAGAAACAAAGACTAGTTTGATTACTGGAGCTGTGCATCTGTTGACTGAATCCTCTAGGTACAATACAGTCTATACAGACAGAATATGTCTGTTCAGTCAGAGGTCTACATTACGTAGCCATGAAGGGCAGAAGTACTGACCCTGCCAGAGTTGTCGGGACCAATGGCGATGCCAAACTCAGTCTGGACAAAGGTGTTGTTGATCAGGTGGGTCACGTCCTGGAATGTCTTCCCATAGTCCTGGCTGGGAGAGAGAGCGAGCGAGAGAGAGAGAGACAGACAGAAAGTGGGGAACAATGTACAAATGACCTACTGGGCACTCCCATTACAAATCAGGAATCCTTATATTAAAAGTATCATAGCTCCACTATTTTAAGGGCGACCCCAAAAGTGAATGTGAAATGAAATCCCTGATGAGTTGAGACTGGTAAAAGTGGACCCTTATCTCCTGTATCTGGTGTTTCTGACCTGCGGTAGAGTTTAGACTGGCCAAAGCGAATCATGAAGACAGGCACCTGGAATGTGGTCAGCACGAGAAGCACCTGTGGAGAGACAACACAGGCTTTACAGGTGGACATACACTTTACAGAACACACACAGGTCTACGTATACACACACACACACACACACACACACACAGTTTACACTCTACTTACCCCTGTGCCATCTCCCACCCAGGCCAGAGACACTGAGCCACTCAGGTCATTGAAGGCATACTGCAGACAGGAGAGAAAGAGAAGGCTTATCAACAGGGCTTACAAAGGAGGGTATCAAGGGTTCATGAATTGTGTTATAACTTTGGGTTATATCCTTCAAGCCTTACGGACTTACAAGCCATTGTCTGTCTGGTGAACAAGGCATATACAGAACACAATGCATAACAACATGAAACACAGAGACCATCAATAATTATCCAGAGAGGTGATGGTGAAGTGAGTGTTGTTCTCAATGTTCTTGGCTTGTATTAGTTTGAATGGGTTTCTGGACTAGGCCTGTTGACTGGGTGTGTATAGGCCCGTTTTCTAAACGCCACACAGATCATGAGGTACAGCACGCGTAGCGTCATGCGGTTTACAATAAGTGGCATCACAGGGTACAGGAAACACAGTCAAATTTGACACAATGTGATGTCATACAGAGCACAGAGAGGGACATTCACTTGTGTGATTCCCCTTTTCCTACTCTCCTTTATCCAAACCCTGCCTGTTCCACACAAGGAGAGTTGACCCCCCACACACACACACACCTCCCAGGCTGGTGCAAAGTGTCCCAACTGTCAAACTATGTTCTTTGTATGGAACTGTGTTTGTGACCTACATTTCTACTTGGCTGACAAGCTGAGAGGCCCGAGAACAAGAGAGTGACTGAGGGCCTTGTGCCCTGAAAGCAGGAGAAAAACACGCATGCGCACACAGGCCCCTAATTCTCCTGAGGGCCCCCTAAAGTTTTAGTCCAGTCTGCAGACGATGGAGAGAGAGAGACAGTGAGAGAGAGAGTATGCGTGTGTGCCTTAGAGCTGATTGAGGGAGGGATTAACCCCCAGAAAGAGACAGACAGAGGGGAAAGAAAGAGAGCTGATACAATCAAAAAGTCAGGTAGACAGCATAATGAGTGTTTATCTTACATTACCACTAATCCAGCGTTCACTTCTTACATTCTACCCTGTATTAGATCTAGTAGGTCTGTGGAGAGAGGAGGCTATGGTTCCCGCCACCACTAGCCTGCCTGTTTGTGTTGTTTATGAGGAGAGGTAAGGCCTAGAGAGTCTGTATGCTGCTCTAGGAAGTCTATAAAGCCACAGGAGGCAGGAAGCTCTCTGGAAACTACTGGTAAACAGGTCCAGGGGAACGCATGATCGCTCCAAGTGTGAACACAAGTTTCCATCCTTTCTTCAAAAGCATCTGTTCATCACACTCTCTCTCTCCATCCTTCCTCCTCCAAATACAGTATATCTATTCATACAACCCCTCAATCCTTCCTTAATCCTGCTCAAAAGGAATCAGTTCATCTCACTCTTCATCCCTCCTCCTCTGAAGTGATCTGTTGATCTGATCCACCCTGTTCAACTTGAGTTCAAAGACTCTTGTTTAAGCTGGCACGCCTGGGCACAAACAATGTTACTGTGACAGATTGTTCATGTTATGGGGGTAGAAAGGCTTCTGCTTTTCTTAGGAATATAATAGTACAAGACCATTGCTTGTACACCTGTGTCAAATCTAACCAGGAACGTGTTTTCTTCATTTGTTCCTCTGAACCCCTGCCAGGCCGCTGGACAACTGATACCCTGCCCTGAGTTTCAAACCCAAACAAAGCAGCAAGGCAGTGTGGGACAGGTCAGCCTCGGTCAGCCCAGTCAGCAGCTCTAGCAGGATGACAGGGACCAGAGGAGGTTCTGTCACAGACAGATATCTTTTAACTTTGTGGGAGGGAGGAGGCGTAGGAAGAGGGGGATGAGGAAGAGTGGAGACTGCCTGAGGGGATGAATCGATACCATCAACAGACGGAAGAGGAGCAGGAGGAGGAGTAAGGGGGAGGGGAGGAAGAAAAAAGGGCATTTAATCATCAAATACAGCTACAACCCTGTATCCTAACTGCCAGACAGGATGTGACCTCACAGACCATACATGATCTCACATCCTGTGACGAAATATTCCAGAGCTCAAGCTAAAGCAAACGCACACACACCACTGGTGTAGTGTCGGGCTGAGAGGTTACAGGCTAGCACAGTGAGCCCCTTATTCCGCAGGGTTCTAGGTATTAACAAGAGTGCTACATCAATATTTACAGAAACAAAACTTCAAAAGAGGAGGTGAAACACATGCAGGCTGTGATCTTTGAGGTGAAGCTGTGTAAATGTCATATGGTTGGGAGGGTTGGGTATGAGGCTTATAGGAGCAGGGAGAGAGGGGCTGTGTCTGTACCAGAGCCAGGTATTTAGAATATTGAATATTGTTCTCATTCTAGACATTCAGGTACAAAGCATTATTTAAATATTCCCCATTTAATGTAAATGGTGCGCTAACATGGCTGCCATAGAATGTTGTTGTTTCTGGTACTGTATATAGGGCTATTGCAGGACTAGGTACAGTAGGTTTGAGGCACAGGGCTGGAGCTGAGATGTGATGAGGTGAAAGTCTGGTCCTACTTGAAGCTCAGTCAGCTATTGGCATCTGAGAGGAGACACACACAGCCCATTACTCCACCCCCATTGAGTGAAGATGGGATGATATGGAAAAACAAAAACACAGCCAACCCTGAAACATTCCTTCCCCCTACATTTCTTCCTCCCCCTCACTCATTATCTCCACCTCTCCCTCCCACTCTGCCCCTTCTCCACATCTCTTTCCTATCCCTTTCTTTCTTTATATCTCACCCCTCCAACTCTCCTACCCTCCCTTTCTCTGCCCCCTTCTCCCGTCCCTCTCTCTATTACTCCCTCTCCCTCCCTATATCCTCTGGACACAAACAGCACGTGGAACATCACTGTGCTGCTTTCCTTGGTTCTGTGCTGCTGGCTGCAACCCAGCTCTGACACACACACACACAGGGAACAGGACATGTCTTCTCTGTACATTCTGACCACAGAGCAGGGGAAAAAACACCCAGCCAGCCTGACCCTCATGATGTTGTTATTGCACATTTAGACACATTCAATCAAATGACGAAGGCGAATACTACACAGAAAGAAAAGGCAATAAGCAGCAACATATAGCCCTTGATGAGTGGAATAATTCATTACACCTAACATTTTCCTTAAATACTTCAGTTTTGAGTCTTCTCTCCTTGGATCAGAGGTCAGGGAGAGAGATAGTGGTGTGTGTGTTTGTGTCTGAGACTATGAGTTTGTGCTGGACACAGATAAAGGTGTGTTCAGCCTGTGGGTTTCTCAGCCCTGGAGAGTCAGTATTTAAACACACAGCTGGATATTCAGACAGACATAGACGCTCACTGGGGTTCTGGCCAGTCAGATTTATAGGCATATTCCATAGTTCCCACTGGTGTCAGTGACCACTTTAGTTAGCCTACATTTTACACAGATTTTTGGACACTTATGATGTTATGCATTAGTGATAAGTTACCCTGAATAATCATAATGTATGTTGATAACACTGTAATGTCTTACGTAGGTTGTGTTGTTAATGGTTTTTTTCTGTATAACACACTGTAGGCCTACATCCTTCTGTTCCTTGCTTAGGGGCATTTCCATGTAAAAAGCCCCATGACCACTAACTTGTGAAGTTCAAAGGAGCACATCAAATTTGGTGTCAAATGAAATCTAAGAGTCTATATTTTTGTGAACATACAGTACCAGTAAAAAGTTTGGACACACCTACTCATTCAAGGGTTTTCCTTTATTTTGTACTATTTTCTACATTGTAGAATAATAGTGATGACATCAGAACTATGAAATAACACATATGGAATCATGTGGTAACCAAAAAAGTGTTAAACAAATCTAAATATATTTTAGATTTTAGACTCATCAAAGTAGCCACCCTTTGCCTTGATGACAGCTTTGCACACTCTTGGCATTCTCTCAACCAGCTTCACCTGGAATGCTTTTCCAACAGTCTTGAAGTAGTACCCACATATGCTGAGCACTTGTTGGCTGCTTTTCCTTCACTCTGCGGTCCAACTCATCCCAAACCATCAAAATTGGATCGAGGTCGGGTGATTGTGGAGGTCAGGTTATCTGATGCAGCACTCCATCACTCTCCTTCTTGGTCAAATAGCCCTTACACAGCCTGGAAGTGTGTTGGGGCATTTTTATTTTATTTTTATTTTGTCATTTAGCAGACGCTCTTATCCAGAGCGACTTACAGTTAGTGAGTGCATACATTTTTCATACTGTTGTCCTGTTGAAAAACAAATGATAAACCCACTAAGCGCAAACCAGATGGGATGGCGTATGGCTGCAGAATGCTGCGGTTGGAACCAAAAATCTCAAATTAGGACTCATCAGACCAAAGGACAGATTTCCACCAGTCTAACGTCCATTGTTTGTGTTTCTTGGCCCAAGCAAGTCTCTTCTTATTATTGTTGTCCTTTAGTAGTGGTTTCTTTGCAGCAATTCGACCATGAAGGCCTGATTCACGCAGTAATCCTCTGAACAGATGATGTTGAGATGTGTCTGTTACTTGAACTCTGTGAAGCAGATTGGGCTGCAATCTGAGGTGCAGTTAACTCTAATGAATTTATCCTCAGCAGCAGAGGTAACTCTGGGTCTTCCTTTCCTGTGGCGGTCCTCATGAAAGCCAGTTTCATCATAGCACGTGATGGTTTTTGCGACTGAACTTGAAGAAACTTTCAAAATTCTTGAACTTTTCCAGATTGACTGACCTTCATGTCTTAAAGGACTGTCGTTTCTCTTTGCTTATTTGAGCTGTTCTTGCCATAATATGGACTTGGTCTTTTACCAAATAGGGCTATCTTCTGCATACCAACCCTACCTTGTCACAACACAACTGATTGGCTCAAACGCATTAAGAAGGAAAGAAATTCCACAAATTAACTTTTAACAAGGCACACCTGTTAATTGAAACACATTCCAGGTGACTACTTCATGAAGCTGGTTGAGAGAATGCCAAGTGTGCAAAGCTGTCATCAAGGCAAAGGATGGCTACTTTGAAGAATCTCAACAAACTGACACATTTTCATTTTCATCAAAAACAACTTTATATCGAAGGAGTTCCTTTGATTTAATGGCCTGCACATGCGCAGTTCGGTGCGACACGACCATTAGACCTGATGACGTTTCTGCGCATGACATCGCCTACAAGTTTGATCGGGGATTTCTATTGGAGAAGCAGTTTCTGCAACCCTTCATATTGTACTATCTTTGGCTAAACTGTGTTGGAACACACTGTCACACACACTCTCCTCTTTAAATGCGCCATGTCAACTGTTTGTTTGTTGCACAATGCTATGGAAACCAAAAGAGGCAGGAAAAAAGAGGCATTGACTGAATAAATTATCTCTCCAGTATTTAGGCATATTAGTCTCTCACGAATCGTGACAGACATTTACGACTGGCAAGCGAGCCGAGGCTTGTGTTGTCTTGACACAAAAGATTCAGCCCTCGCCACAAACCTAAAAAAATTACTGGCCCTCTGTGCCTTGTCTTGGCCAGTCAGCCTGCTCTTATAACAGATAGACTCACTGGAGGTCTGAGAGAAACATGTGGGGAATGTTTATGAGGGAGCACAGCCTAGTGTGGATAGGAGGTGGTGGGTGGACCAAGCTCCCAATAGGAGTGTGTTTTTTCCATGGTCAAAAAGAGCTTCAGGTGTTCCAACTCTAGCACATGCACTCACTGATCTGACAACACAATGACCATCCAGAACTTAGTTGTGGCATTTCACAGAATTCTAGAACATTCCTCTGGCCGTAGATTGTATTCGTCTACTACGAAAACACCAGAACTGTACTGAACTGGCTGTTCTGCTCCTAAAAACACTTCCTACTTCACTGAGGACAAAGAGAGCTCGAGAGACGGCCAAATTAAGTTACCGCTGGGTTTCAAAGCTCCTGTGAGTTGGAAGGGGGTAGAGAATTCACTGTGAAGGCCGTTTTAATTGGAGATGGGCTAAGCTGGTTTACAGTGGGATTGGCAGAGAGAGTACGTTTATGGAGATGGGAGGAACTTCTAAGTGTCCCTTTGGGAAGTCATTAAGACTCGGGCAGAGGGGGTTTGAAGAACATTTGGACAGAGGTCGAGAGAGGTTTGGATGGAGTTTGTAGCATATTTTATTGGCTGGAGGGTTCAGGTCAGGTCCATGTGAGAGAACATAATTACATCGATAGAAGACTGGAAGAGAGGGTTTAGGGAGGGTTAGGGTGTGGGCCATGGGGCATATCTCAGTGCAGGGACTTTTCTGCCATAGAAAAACCCTTGGGCAGGTTTTTACAGTCCAAACCTGTAAAAAAAAAAAAAATATATATATATATATATATATATATATACACACACACACACACACACACACATACACACACAGTGCATTCGGAATGTATTCAGCCCCTTGACTTTTTCCACATTTTGTTACGTTACAGCCTTATTCTAAAATGGACAAAATAGTTTTTTTCCCCCTCATCAATCTACACACAATACCCCATAATGACAAAGCAAAAACAGGTTTTTATAAATTTTAACAAATGTATTAAAAGCACAAAACTGAAATATCACATTTAAATAAGTATTCAGACCCTTTACTCAGTACTTTGTTGAAGCACCTTTGACAGGGATTACAGCCTAGAGTTTTCTTGGGTATGACGCTACAAGCTTGGCACACCTGTATTTGGGGAGTTTCTCCCATTCTTCTCTGCACATCCTCTCAAGCTCTGTCAGGTTGGATGAGGAGCGTCGCTGCACAGCTAATTCCAGGTCTCTCCAGAGATGTTCGATCGGATTCAAGTCTGGCCTCTGGCTGGGCCACTCAAAGACATTCAGAGACATGTCCCGAAGCCACTCCTGTGTTGTCTTGGCTGTGTGCTTAGGGTCATTGTCCTGTTGGAAGGTGTACGTTCGCCCCAGTCGGAGGTCCTGAGTGCTCTGGAGCAGGTTTTCATCTCTCTGCACTTTGCTCCGTTCATCTTTTCCTCGATCTTGACTAATCTCCCAGTCCCTGCCGCTGAAAAACATCCCCACAGCATGATGCTGCCACCACCATGCTTCACCGTAGGGATGGTGCCAGATTTCCTCCAGACGTGAAGCTTGGCATTCAGGCCAAAGAGTTCAATCTTGGTTTCATCAGACCAGAGAATCTTGTCTCTCATGGTCTGAGAGTCCTTTAGGTGCCTTTTGGCAAACTCCAAGCAGGCGGTCATGTGCCTTTTATTGAGGAGTGGCTTCCATCTGGCCGCTGCCATAAAGGCCTGATTGGTGGAGTGCTGCAGAGATGGTTATCCTTCTGGAAGGTTCTCCCATCGCCACAGAGGAACTCTGGAGCTCTGTCAGAGTGACCATCTGGTTCTTGGTCACCTCCCTGACCAAGGCCCTTCTCGCCCGATTGCTCAGTTTGGCCAGGCGGCCAGCTCTAGGAAGTCTTGGTGGCCACTGTGTTCTTGGGGACCTTCAATGCGGCAGACATTTTTTGGTACCCTTCCCTAGATCTGTGCCTTGACACAATCCTGTCTCGGAGCTCTACGTAAAATTCCTTTCAACCTCATGGCTTGGTTTTTGCTCTGACATGCACTGTCAACTGTGAGACCTTATATAGACAGATGTGTGCCTTTCCAAATCATGTCCAATCAATTGAATTTACCACAGCTGGACTCCAATCAAGTTGTAGAAACATCTCAAGGATGAGCAATGGAAACAGGATGCATCTGAGCTCAATTTCGAGTCGCATAGCAAAGGGTCTGAATACTTATGTAAATAAGGTATATATTTTTTATATTTAATAAATTAGCCAAAATATCTAAAAACCTGTTTTCGCTTTCTCATTATGGGGTATTGTGTGAGGGGGAAAAAGTATTTAATACATTTTAGAATAAGGCTGTAACGTAACAAAATGTGGAAAAAGGGAAGGGGTCTGTATACTTTCCGAATGCACTGTA